TCTAGTCTGGTTACATGTGCGTTCAAGGGTTTTGCAAATGTTATGATCATGATGGCCCTGGTAACATCAGTAAAGTGTGCAACTCAAATTGAACAACTGTCCCAATATCAACCAAGACGTAGCGGAAATAGTGTAAGTTAATAACTTACTACGCTGTCAAATGATTCCAAAGTTTTAGTACTCTTTTTGGTTTCCTATTACCACTAACCTCCATAGAGTGTTCAACCTGCTGTATGCAAGTTGACAACGCGCACCCTAATTCAGCCAGCTTGCAAACTTTCGTCAAACTGCCCACATCGAATGACTTGGAGACTACTGGAGATTACTCAACGATATCAGTACGCTAAATTGGGAAGAAGAAAGCCAACGGCATCACTCAATAATTCAGGTCCTCAATGTATTGTTTTATCACCCCTTTTGCGACACATCAGTGATCTATCTATTACTCCCTCTGTGCGACATTTTCAGTATGCTGATGATATCGCCAATTCTGTCTCCACGTGTAAGCAGTCAGTACTGGAAGCATATATCACAAACTTATCCCGCGTAGTTACAGGTTTTAATGTTGATCCTGAAAAATGTCTTAAATGCGTTTTAGCTTCGGACCGTTTCCCATCTCCGTCCGATAAGTTAGAGATTCAGGAAAAGCCGATGAGCAGTGTGAGCCATGTGGAGTCTTTAGGTTTCACACTTAAACCTTCGCTGGCCTTTACATACCCAAATTGTTACTTGGAAGCTGGAAGTTCTGTCCTGTCAGAAAAGAACACTGCGCCACTTCTTCTCTTATGTCGGCTTTTTCAACAATGTATTCTCCCTATAATCCTTTACTGCTCCTCTGTGATTTCCCCTGCTTTGTTGAAGGCTGATTACAAGTTGCTGAAGCGTGGCCTCACAATGATCAGCGGTGTTTCCCAAGTTTCGTTATCTGTTCCGATAAACAGTATCTGTGATGCTGATATTAATGCATGCCTGAAGTTTGCTGACAAAATTCCATCAGATTGCACCCATCATTCACACACGAACATGCGTGCATATGAAACTCATCCGTTACAAATACAAGCTCATCGTATCTCGGATATTTGCCTACAGAATCTCCTTGGTACCCTATCTTGCCCGGACATGGATCAACAAGGAAATCGTTCGTTCTTAGCATTATAATTCATTTAGTTGTTAGTTTACATTTTCTCACGCTTGATTTCTCGCTTTACTTTTTATTTTTGCCAGCAATTTGAAGGTGGTTTCTTTCTCTTTTTGGCCGAAAGGTTGTTCATAACTCGCTAAAGCTTCCATGCAATACAATGCAACGCAGGCGGAGTGCCAGAACCGGCCGTTTTACGACACATTTGACGCGTCATTTCGATGCACTGGAGACAGGTCACATTGATCGANAGAACTTCATGAAATAATCAAGGGTTAGCCTTCTATGAACTTCTGTCCTAGAAATGATTAGGAATTTCCATCCTTCGGCAAACCATTGTTCACTGTCTGACACGTTTCTTCATCCACAATTATTTATCCTCCGCACTCAATGCACTTTTTACTCACCAGAAGCACAGCCCGTTCAAAACGTTTGTCTGGATAAAGTTCTAATTTGAAAAGTTCATAAGATGAATATTTGTCAGAAGACTGTCCTAATGTCAAATGTGTTCTCCGAGAACTATAGACTACAACCAAGGTCCAAATCACATGCAATCTTTCTATGGTTATTCTTCAGAGGTATTCCATTAACTGTTATCGGTTTTTACTTCCCGGTTGATTAGTCAGAAACTAATTGGGATAACTAGTAGAGTTTCTAACCAGGAACAAAAGCATCGTTCAGTTCTACACGTTTGTAACTTCACTGAAAATAATAACAGCAGAGTATCTAAACAATATGCATGCTCTGAATACACAATCATGAGGATTCGTCTAAAGAACGAAACGACAAATCACACAAGCCAAATATGCACGTATGCAAGGTGAATAAATTGCATCCGACTACCTTGATTTGAATGGATGTAAATTTGACTACAATTACGCTTTCAGTGGTTATCAGGTTGCGCGGGAAGCTTAGAGGGGAAGGAGCTTGAATAAAAACTTGAATGGACTTCGGTTTCTCAAAATTCTCCAAAATCCTCAGTATGGTTGGGCTGGGTGTCAAGGGTTGCGGCTGGTCACCCTTCCCTTGCACATCGTAAAATGCTCCCACACGACCAAGCACCTCGAACAGCTTCTGCTGAGGAAGCCCTACCAACTGCCTTCTGGTGGCGGTGTTTTCCCACCAAAGTGAGAGATCGAAAAGCCGACCACGGGGTTATAACCGGGTTGGTGGACCACCGGTAGTTCACCCAGGGAGTTGGTCAAAAACCTGGATTTCAAACCAACTAAGAGGAGGCGTACGAACCACCCGCACATCTTTTCGGTTGTAGCAATGGTCATCGGCTCAATCGGGCATCGAAGTGTATTGGGCACCTTGAACATTTGACTCCGTCCGAAGGGCGTGTGATCCGATGAAATGGACACCGGCTCCCAATGGATTGCGGTTTTCACACCGCCTGTTGCCTTGCGGGTTAGGCTTTGGCTAGCCAAAGGCTCCGGTTGTGGAGTCCTCAAGAAAACGTACATGTCTTGGCCCGGGCAACCTGGCAGTATTCAGCCCACAAGCCGATCATGGGATGTTTTTCTTTTTTATGAAGATTACTGTACCATGATTTGTTTGTTACACAGTCTGGCCTCAGACCAGTGTGGAATATAACAATAATACAATGCTCAAATGTGGAGGTAGTTGAGAAAATCCATGAATAACAGGTTCCTTGCACTTAGCGAAGAGCTGAAAGCGACGTCAAGTGGATGGAGTAACTGCAGTAGAGTAAGTTCATGCAATTGGTGAGAATAGGTCAATCATGATATGCGCAACACCGACAACACGAAAGAAGCCACAGCTTGGGGATTAGCGCTCTGATACATTCTGAGGTTCCATAAAGTGAGTGGCGCTAAGCATGAGAATCATTCCTTGAAACTCACATCGCCAATCTCCAGTTCCCCAATGGTCATAGCCATTGTCTTCATGAAGGAGTTCTCCACCGTCCGAAATGCATTTTGATTTGCAAGCAGGGTGTGAAATGACAGACCAAACGCAATCAGGAACGGAGAAAATACGCAGAAAAATTTGGCAAATGTGATGGTCACGGAGACGAACATGATCACAAATATGCCAAATATCGGTCCACGTCGAAAGAATAAGAGCAGACTGAGCCAGGCGAGAAATATGCTAAGTGTACCGCAAGTCCATTGCCAGTCCTGGACAAGTGAAACAACGGGAAGAGGATATGGGAAAATAAATGAGTGCTTTGATTGAATCAAGGCAAAGTAAGCATTCGCTTGCAATAAACGGGGAGCTCGTGTTAAAGAAACAACCACTATATATGACAAATAAAATAGACACTACTTGGATAACTACTATCTTCAAATCAGATGAAATTATGGCCTAGAAAATGCAATGATCTCGCGAAATCATATTCTAATGGTGCAAATGCGAGTTTATCAGGCCTGAGGGAAAAAGGCTACAGGAGATTGTACCAGCGACTGTTGTGCTTTTTTTGTGAAGTCTTCTCCTTATATACCATGGGCTTCGGTTGGTTGAACAAACCTCATCACCATACGGTAGTTCGCGTTTTCCGTGTCCTTCACCCGAATGAAATAAAGACCAGTTCACATTTCAGTTACAGTTACTTGTCAGTAGTGGTGTGGAATAATTTTTATTGATTTGGAATAGCCACCCCTCAAACTTCATCTTAACGCACAATCCACGGTCCATCCAGTCAAACACACACTCAAGTGTATGGTTTCCTGGATGAACGGAGAATTGTGTGGGAAGATGAAATCTGAAAGATAATCATTTCAAATAAATCGGGAAAATTCCGACTTTATAACTAATTACACGACAACATGACATAGCATAGCCTTCACGGAAGCCCCACTGGTTGGTGTGGGGGGGGGGTTGAATATCGTCAATGGCACCATCCCGGTTAGAATATGGGCCACTTGAGACACTCATAACCCACTCCATCCTCGGCCTCGAACAAGTGAAAGCTCAGCGGATATGCGCGGCAGATGAGATTTTTATACGGAGATCAAAACAACTACTTGGCAATTCCAACGGTTTTGTACAGTATATGTGACACACTGACGTCTGGGTGTGCTGAAGAACTTTGTAATTATTTCATCTCATGCTGTTCACCTGATCATTCATTATCGAATGTAACCGGCACAGGTTACATAAATCAATCAGTATTCCAGTATCCATAAAGAGAGGGGGTGTAAAGGACCTTTAACTCCCTTTATACCCTAACGAGCGCAAAGCGATACACATTTTATTAACGGAAGCACGGTCGTCTTGACGGTTTCTTTCAACAAACCATCACAACGAATATGTATATACGAAAGGGGTTCCGCTCAAAGGCATTTCTAGATTCACACCTAGATCAGTTTGCAGACTCTGCTATTGGTGATTGTGTTTTTAACTGCTTGTTCCCATTTGATCATCAAACTGACAATGCGTGTAACCAGCACTGAACTTAAACTTGAAATAGTGCCCACTGGACATAAAAGAAAAGTTATATTTATCCAAGTGGAAATTCGTCGTGTGAACTGAAAAGCTAGGAAGCACTGGAAGACTGTTTCGAATAAAGCGTAATATAAGTATCCCAAAACACACACATGGAAACATACACAATTTGAGTTCACGGCGATTGGATGTTCGACCCTTCCTGCAGCCCTGACAAACCCAGATGGAGTTATGTAATTGTTTTGTGAATATTAAACCGGTCATCTACTCAATCAATTCGATAGTCAAGAAACTATCCTCATTTCATTCCGTGTTCGAATGAATCATCGAATGGACGCTCTTATATGAAGGCACACGCATTACCCCGGGACGATAATTTATACTTGGGAGCAGAGGAGCGGTCTGCCTACTGGTGAGCACGATTCAGAAAAATACATACCTCACGCAAGCCTGTGCGTAACATGCATAAATTTGTATCAATCAAGGTCAAGAAGGAGAGCACGTATATGGTGACCGCCAAACAATTTTCCGCAATGAAATAGCTCAAACGATTTTGAGCAATTTTTAGTACCTGCCAATGAAAAAGAAACGATAAGAGACCGGTAAGAAAAAATACACAATCAATACAACAGCATCTACTTAAACCAATATTCCTGTAAAGTGAAGATGATCGGGGTCTAGCTCTTTATTTGTTTTGTGCTTAAAAATGTAACTGCAATGACTTCCAAAAGAATCCAACAATAATTCACAAGANATAAGAGACACCTAAGCAGTGCTCCTAACACACGACAACACAATATGTACTCAAAAATGGATGCGGAAATCGAAGAATAAACGAACTTCCAGGCAGTGAAAACCATACAATGCATTAAACACAGATATCTGAATTCTCGTCAATTCGCATAAAAAGAAATAGGATAGAATGATGTAAATATGTTGCTTCCAGATATGGACCATCGACTGCATGACTCAGTGACAAGGGTTTTGGATTCTGACCCAGCAGTGGGACAAGAGTACTACACCCTGTTGCTACCTAGTGCCCTTTGTAATCCAATAATGAAAATTTAACGGAGATAAAAATGAACGAAGTTTGATAAGAGCATTAGCAAGCAACTCAAAGATATAAAAGCTTCGCGGGGGAATCGATACGGCTAAGTGGTGAAGTTCGTCGAGTACAGAGCAAATGAAGTGTGAGCTGAAAAGCTTAGAAGCAATGAACAGCTGTTCTGACATGGTGGGATCTTAACAGCAGTAGAAGAATCCGTCATTCGAACTGGGGATCAAACCCCTCCCCAGACAGAAGACAACCACACTATCCAGTTGCCCAACAGCAAACCGATCAGACCGGTTCCTTTCTATTTGGTTTATGTCCGATGAAGCAGAGCCCGCCTTTGTAAGCTTGATATGAGCATCACACCTCACACTGCTGGGAGATTCAACAATTTCGAAATAGTCGTGCAGCGTGCATCTTTGCTCCATTTGCTCCAGACATACGGAAATAACAAAACAACTCAGTTACTGAGTCCTTGCCTTCGGAAATCTCTCTGTTCATTTGACATATAAGCGTTGCAGTTGAATTGTCCTATTCTAGGTCCTCTTCTGACATATCAAAATGCAGTGCAGACAATGCTGTTCAGTAGACACTGGATGAATGACTTGAAAGTTGCCCCCCAAACGTTATCTGCAATGAGTTGATGCTGCGATGTTACCTGATACTTGGGAAAAAGGAAAATCCCCGTTTTTGTTTAGAAACAACTGGGATATGCATTTTTCTGTGCAATAAGTGTTGTGAGTTTCGACGGAACATTCATCAAAGTTCATCTCCAAGCTCGGTCCCCAATTAGTTCAGTCTGCTGTTCACTAAGGACGAGTTTCTCGATGTGGTTTTTGTTGTTGTTAGAAGACTGGTTCGATCCAATTCCCCAGACAGGTAATGCATCGAAGAAGTTTAAATAGTAATCCAACTATGTGAGTATGAAACCCCTTGAACCGAAAAGTCGCATTAGGCTTCAGGGGACCTCGGAACCCGTGGAATCGATTGTTACAGACAATGAGAGAGATGGCTGAGTACTGTAAATAGTGGCGCCCGTACATCTCATCAATCTCCGCGTAACTTTCATCTATCTACCTTTACCTTGGGTACTGCTCCCACCTTCGTAGCTCTTCCCTCCCACCCAGAGTCAGCAACCACAGCCGCCGCACGAAATGAAAGCTTAGGGGTTTCGGAAACTGAAACTGTAATATCTACTGATGCATTCGGATCTGAATTCCAGAACTCAAGCGTCACCATTATGCTTTTTCTTCTCTTCATTTTACTTCCTTTTATTGAACGTACAAAGATACAACTTTCAGGAAGGAGGAAGTAGCCAATCAAAGACTGTCATTCAAAACACAACGGGGAAAGTCAGGTGGTGGTGGTGGTGGGATTCGAACACACATCCGTGGGATGATTATTTGGTGGCAATACCATCGGGCCACCACCGCCCTGCTAGCCAGTTCTCAAAATAGCTGAAAAAAGTATCTAAGTTAGCTCGTTCATTTGTCATTCTTATTGAAATTCAGTCAGTTTATTTGGCCTGAAGTCGACGTAGTGAGAAACAGAGAAAACGTTACACATCAATAATCTCTGCGGAAACTATTGTCCTTTGTCACACTAGTTTCGGAATATTCTTTTTATATTTAGTCATCACGAGGTCCTGAAAATTAAGCAAGAGAAAACTGACGCATAAGTAGTGGGATCAGTGCTTACCTCGAGGATAAAACCCATCAGTGACAGAATCATGGCTCCATACTTTGGGATCAGAATGTGATGCCGATAGGCCTTCTGATTGGCTTCTTCCAAGAGAAGACAAACAGCCTTGCTAGTTGTGATGTTGCCATTTTTTCTAATGCAACGGAAAAAAGTTAAAAGAAATTTGGAGCATGTGTTACCAAAGTTCACACGGAAAAGGTTTTCTATTAGTCTGTCCAGAGTGGTTTGTATTTTGTGTCTTAATACATGAACAGTAAAGTTCAATGTGCAATGTTACGGTGTCATATAAAAAACTTAAACTCCAAAGTTCGATAAAATAAATCCTCGATTAGACCTTGCGCAAACAGTTTGATGCTTTCAGACCGACACCTAGGAACGCTTGGCTCCCTATCATTCAGTTACACGAATTTATTGATGAGTGAGTGTTTCATTGCTCAAAAGAGCAGTTGACGTTCAGACGGTTCACTCAATGTGTTCTGAATTCTAAAACAGTGCGTAGGATTCAACGATGCCGTTCGCATGATTAATACATTTCTGAATTTAGTAAAAATCAATAAAATTGTATATAACATCTGGAATTTTACGCGTGAATTCGGTGTCAGTACAAAATCAAACGACCTGATTCGAACGTAAAATTCGAACCGGAAAAAGGTGTTCACTCAAGGCTACGAACTTGGACTGTGTAGCTCAGGTGGCAAAGACTTTGACACCCAACCCGACAGCTATCAGTACGGTACGGACGCAAATGTGCGCATTGTTGACGCGTCTAAGTAATGTTTTTAACTTGCTGTTCACTCTATTGAATATACAAATGTACAGTCAACCTTCAGGAAGGGGGCTGCGGCCATACAAAGGCTGCTTGGGGAAATACAGAAACAGGGAAGACGGGCGACGGTGGAGCGGTTCGAACCCGGAACTTCCCGGTCACAATTTGGTGACCTAACCACTTGGCCACCAAGTAGACAGACAATAGCTGTTCAGTATTCATGAGGTCGTTGCAGCTATCCAGAATTTCATTTTTCATTTTTTTCTTCTTGTAACTAGTTACGGCAGACGTGTGCGATCGAAGTCTATTGACTAGACACGAACATTTTCTGCGAACACAACTAGACAGAAATACCCTTGAGACACCAAAAGGTAAATATTTGCTACGAGCTGACTCTATTGTGATTATTGGTTTGATTGAATAGTCGACGTACGTCGAAAATATGTACAGATTAGAAAAATTAATTTCACATGTAGTAGATTGTGCATAGATAAAATGAACTGTGAACTGAAAAGTTGGAAAACATGGGACAGCCGTTTCAACCTGATTGGGTTTCATTAGCAGTGCGAATCCATCGATCCAACTGGGAAACGAACCCGGGACCTTAAAAGTAGAACACAAGCATAGTACCCATTGTATAATCAAATTAAATCCTTCANTAACATTGGAGGCTATAGCTGAGATGCACAATGTGTGATGCCTGAAACAAGCTCGAAAAGATAGGTTGTACTATATCGTGTAAATGGAAAATAAAACAACAGTTTGATCAGCTGCCCGGTGAACGAGTGAGTAGTATGCTTGCGTTCTACCTATGAAGTCCCGGGATTAAGCCCCAGTCAGATTAATGGATTCACACGGCCGATGAAATCCAAAAACGTCAAAACACTTGTCTAGTGCTTCCTGGGTTCTCATTTCACGCTTCGTTTGCTTTATACATGAAGAAGTTCACCATATAAGTAAATCAAATCCTTCAATACGTTCATGAGTTTTAAATGTGTTTTGAGTTTCACTCACAGTGGTAGATCAGTAAACAGACGACATGATGAGACTTACAGCAGATACGGAGCATCCGTGAGTAGCATAAACGCGGTGAACAAGGAGAGAAAAATCACATAAGCCAGCAGATGGAAATAGTAGAGCGAATTCAAATATGCCCACTTGTAGGACAACAGGCCGATGACAAGCGGATGATATAGTAACTCCTCCCGGCCAGTACTCATCTGTGAGAGAATCGTGTTATGGGTACGAATACGGTGAGATAACAATAATCGGTGACAGTACAGAAAATCAATTTGGCTGTGAGATTCCATAAATAAAAAATCGATGTCATCGTTGTTAATTCAATACACAATCAGTGACATGTTTTAAAGTTGCTACCTACCAGACCCATGCCTTATGACAAATAATGGTGAAAAGAATTTCATCAAAAAGGTGAATAAAAAACACGAAACCGCGATGCATTTCCGGAATAATTTCGCCCCGTCAGAACTGATGTTTATTGCAGAAAGCAAAAGAATCCTGTTGGAATACAGTGAGCGATAATAAGTTTAACATGAAAAATCGTCATACGGCCTCACCAGACGCTGTACACAAACGTGGTGGTTTGCGGCCACATGAAACACGATGCGATTTTTTCCAACTCAACAATCGTTAACCCCCGCTTTCGTGCTGCAGTTTTGGTTACTGTCCTTTGACTGCCCCTATGGATGAATGGGTCGAGAAAGAAGTGGAATGCCCGACATAGTGCCAATGTGAAGACAACGAATTGAGGTAGACTAAGGTTGCAAAAATATTAGAAAGATCCACGAGCTCTACTATTTACTTTACTTAGCCATATCATTCAGAGTCTATAACCATCAATTGGGCTGAACCCGAGTTCCCGATTCACGAAGCCTAGCCCAACCTGCCTGACCGGGTAGCGTAGTCCGTTTTACCAAACTGTACAGAAAATGAACCTAGAAGAACTGTCTCTAAGATACACATGGAATGTGGTAATCTCCCTTGGTGAGTAGTTCACTGGATAAAATTATAAACAATATAACCACGACGTATTTCAAAATCAGACTGAATGTGGATTCAATCAGTATTATGCTGATGTAGTACAGATAACACGCTAGTCATCATTACGAATGCAACTGGAACCTATACACTGATTACAGTGAACCAGAAATCAACATGAATTGCATAGTATATCCATTTTCACAGCTTTTCTCGCATTTAATACAAAGATAGACTGGTTCGAAAAGTGACCAATAAAGCCACACAAATATATAGGGCTGGGAACATTGTATTCAATGTGAAACAGACTGAATACGCACTGTAAGTGAATGATTAATTTTTTGATTTTATACGAAGGCATAGGATTCGCACACAGATAAGAACTCCAGCGCATTCATCGGAGAACCTAGCAATCAAACTTGAACCAATATACGAAGCTGATGACGTAATTCAGACGATGCTAACTCTCTTTGTTTGCTGACTCCTCAATCTTGTATTGGAACACAACCTGGATCGAATAATATGGTATGTTTCCCAAACAATTGTGAATCCACCCCAGTACGTTCATTTGGACATAATTAGTTGCATCTGCTACATTGACAAAATCCAGGTTGGAGACTTAATTTGGAGTTAGTAGATTGTATATTGCCTCCTTTCGGAGCTGTCGGGTCAACTACTGACGAAGTATCTGTGAGGACAACATCTAAACAAAATTGAACGGAGTATTCTGCTCAGCTCGAATGAGAGACGGTTGCCAGTGGTGACAGATATATATTCAACACGAGAAGTCTGGGGTGAGAATCTCGAACGCGACGATAGATGCGCACTACTGATGAGCTCTAACAAGAAGACACTTAGTGCTTTTCGAGTGAACAGTTGCTAGCTATGCTGTGATATGTTTACGGTTCGATCAATCCGATGTTTTAATTGCACTATTTGGACACTAGTCCAAATGAAACATTATACGAGGGGAATATGTATCGCCTGGTCGCGAAAACCACTTTCATTTTTAGTTTTTACAATCACTAACCGTGCACTTTCGTGCGCCGGTTTTGGTTGCTATGTCATGACTATCCATTTCGGTGAAGGAGGTTAGAGAGGACCGGAATATTCAAAATGCTGTCGGAGCGAAAATGGAGAAAACTCTGGTTGCAAGAACATTGGGTAAATGTACGAGGATCACTGTTTATGACACCCAGTCATATGACTCAGTCTCTGACCATTGATGATAATGTTTCCGGCGTCTCCATCCATGAAGCCTCATGCGACCTAGGCGAGGCAGTCTCTTGGTTGGAAAACCTAGTCAAGTCAAGTCAAGTCAAGAATGCACTTAGTTCATCAAATGTGGACAGAATTTGCAGTGAAAAGAATGTTATCGCTTTTGCTTTGGCATGCGCGCTATTAAAAATGAGCTTAAAGATAGGAAAAATACTTACGGAGATGATAATGAATAGGACACCGAGAACGCGTAAAAAAAATGAAAATTTCAACGTGAAAGTTAACATTAGACTGTGTATAAGTTCGTTTCATATTCGCTCCCCAGAAATCAACAAACCTGAAAGGTAAGGTACAACGGAGTTGTGAAAAGCAGTGGTACGAGTATTGAAAGGTTTACAGGTTTATTAATTATTGCGGGTTACAGAAGTTGAAATGGAGCTAGGTAGGGCTGTGTGTAAAGGATATGACGAATCGGACCAGATGGAGTCACACAGGCGGTCACATGCATTCAGGTGTTGGTTGACAATGAAATCAACCAGCTCCTCATAAGATACAGCTCCATATNATGCTTTTCAGAGAGTATCTAATTAATATGAAATCCTTAGACAGTAGACCGAGAAAGATAACGGGACAGCAGTAGGTTCAATGGCATAAAACGCATGGGAAAATAAATTTGGAGATGATGTACAATGGCAACCTCAAATGCCGAAGGCGTGAAATATAAAAGGTAAACTTCCTGAATTCAAGAAATGTTTGTTATACGTGACAGGACCATTTGAGGTCAGTAGACACGAAACATTCAAAATATTCGAAGTGTTTTGACCTTTAAACTTTTTAGTTATTGATCAAATTATTGGGAACAGATGATCCAGAAAGAGTTGAAGGCCTACGGTCAATGGAAAACAAAACTTCAATGCATTTATTGGGGTTTAAAAAAAGGTTAACACCATCGGACCATTCAGAAATGCAATTTATGGCTGACTGAAGGGGGTTAGTCGAAGGGTTGTTGTTGTGAGATGCAACACCAACTACAAGGTCATCGGCATATTTAAAAGTGAAAACATTTGGGGTGACTGGCAAAAGGAGAACAGAAAAGGGGTTAAAACTGCTCCCTGATGTACACCGTGATTTACAGTAACAGTAGAAGACCTAATACCACTGAGACAAGTGAAACAACGTCGGTCGGTAAAACAATCGTGCATCCAATTCAAAAGATGTGGTGGGAGATTATGTTGCCGTAACGGTGTCAATAGGGTATTTCTGTAGACAGAGTTAAGCGCGTTTGTGTAGAAACAAACGTGAACAATTTTGTGTTTTTGGTCTATAGTGGATAAAATAGAATGTATAAGACAAGCAACTGCATCTACAGGCGAGCGACGCATACAATAAGCAAACTGATTGGAATCACAAAAATCAAGATCGGAGGATAGGTGCTTAATAATAATACGCTTAAAAGTCTTAAGTAATACTGAAGAAGAAGCAATAGGCCGAAAATTACCCTTTTCTTCCCTAGTTACTGGAGTGATGCTGTCCGTTGTGACAGACACAGGAAGGTGGAAATCAAGTGACGTTGTGCATGGACTCGGTAAAGCTTGCACAACGTTTTTCACTGAAGCAAAAGATTTGTTGAGCTCATTGATATCGCATGAGACTATAGTAGGTAAAGCTGAACGACCAGTTCAGTCCGTTCCAAAGCTGATGGCAGGATTTGTCGCCTAGCACGGTGTCAGCATACAAATGATTGAGATGTGCTTTCTCGATTCTGATGTGAAAATTAACAGATTTGACCGTCAGTTTATCTCTCGAGCGATACACCCGTTCTTTTAGCTTTCGTAACCATTTCAGTCTATCGGAGATGAATCGGTTGGGCTGTAGATGAATCCTTTCCTGAGGGCAGTACACATCATAACAATGGTTGGGGTAATTGGTAAGGTTCTCACAGAAGACTGAAATATCAGGATCGAAGAGTCGTTGTAAGTCTGTATCACCAACCATGGATTTTAATTCCATAAAATTGGTCAGATGATTTTGCCGTAAACGTATCTTACGTTCTTATCGTTCTTCATCAGGATTTGTTGCTTGCATTTACCATATATTGTAGGTAAAACTTTATTCAGACAGTGATCGGAATTACCTACTGGTGCACGTTGGAAGGCGCGCAAAAAAGATGGTTCGTTAACAAAAAGGTGGTCCAAGGAGGCATCATTTCGAGTGGAAAAAGTAACAATGTTCTGAAGGAACATAAGTGTGTAAAACCTCACATCAGATCTGTTGAAATCGCCAGAAACGATGATTACAGATTTCTTCAACACGATTGGATAGAATACATTCAGGAAGGTAGAGAAGTCACTAGGAGTACAGTCAGGAGTGATGTATAGGTTTGAAAAGATGATCAAAGAGTGACGCAGGAGAAAATGTAGTTTGCATTCTACAGAAATACAAGAACTGTTTTGTGTGCAGTGAGTGGATATGCATTTGGTGGAGTTACACCACGACCGGCGCACATAAATGATGACGCCTCCACCTTTAGTTTTCCTTCCTGGATGTCTATCTGCTCGAAATAATTGGAAGCCTTTGATCTGAACCAATTCGTCGTTGAGGGGTTCTTGTAACCAAGATTCTTGGAAAAGTAGCACACGACTTTTGGAGTACTCTCCGTAGTGAATCAGAAGACCGATGTCCGATAGCTTAGGAAGAATTGAGCAGACAAAATGCTCGGAAAACCGATGCTCTTCAGGTTTCGGTGCTCAAGTGCAACTTTCCAACCAGCGCGATGCTTTTTCCGTTTTCCATGTGAATTTCTGATGATCCTTTTCACTTTATTTCTCACAAAACGAGAAGGAGCACGTAAGGACGGTTCGTTGATATCTTCCACGGATACTCGTACAGAAATTAAACTTAGCGCGTTGTAGGTTATCATTGAGGTCACCGTAATTGATACCAAAGTATATCCAGAGGTTGTGTGTGATGAAAAACCAAAGCTCCAGCGATAACAACAAACGACGGCCAATTTCAAAGGCCCCGGATAGTTATAACTAAAACTGACATGGTAGGCTGCTGTAATTATTGATTTAGTGCAAATTTCTATTTGAACTTAAAATGCCACAACCTGTGGCAGGAAACTCACGTGAGGCAAAGTTTAACAACCGTATTCGTCGCGGAGTTCTGCTTTGAAGGTTCCCGAAAAGATTTTTTTTTAAACATTGGAATGTTATTTCCCTTACAAATCTAGGGGAATACAGTATTCGAGCAAATGAGGAACGGTCGATCATGTCTAGCTATACTGAACAAAAGTTTCCGTGATAGAAAAGAACGGGATGCGATTCAACTATCTGCATTCATGATGAACTGGGGCAAATATTTGATTGACAAGATTCCCCGCTTCAGAAAATACACGAGGTAGAATGCACTATAGCACTTGGCTTACCATGATCTCAATCATAGTTTCTTGCTTCTTGGTGCGAGACCTTTTCAAACCGCAGGAAATTTTTTCTTCTTCAATGGGAACTGGTTTATGCTCCTTCAGCATAGACATTGCCGCCGGTTCTGCTTCCTAGAGGTGTGTGAAAACGGGTCGAGATTAAACAGGAAATATATTTACATAAGCATATGTATGTATGATTTTGAGGCATCAGAATGTTTATTATTAACAAATAATAGTAATAATAATAATAATGATAATATGGAAAGTCTTTAGTCACATTTCAGAAAGCTGCTCAAACCATTGAGAGTGGAATTAATATTATTATTTTGAGTTACAATTCTGCAACTACCATAATGCGTGCCATTAGACAGTTTGTGGCAGAATAATCCTCCGTGGTTGTGAAAGCATGCACTGGTGTTCGAGTTCAAATCTTAGTGGGTCTCGGTTGTTGTGCACACTATTAAGGAATCATAACACGGATTAAAAGGGTGGTAAACAGCGTATCCAAGGCTTTTTCAGTGATGAGTAGTTACACGCCGAGTCTGCCTGAATAAAAAACTCTGATGAAGTAATCTCCTAGTCAGTGGTCAAACAGTATCACAGAATGTTTTGATTTTCTGCTGTTACAATAGTTAATTCGCTTCTAGATCCCTTGATTATTTTTAAATACCGCGAGAATTCAGCAACCGTCTTTCCAGANACGCTCCAAAATTACCACGCACTAATGTAAGTAGTACCAACCTACAGTAGTAGTCGGACCCTGCTGCCGAGTTCAAGTCACCTCACGTTAAGTCAAGAAATTGTCTCCTAACACCAGTTGGTGCAAATTCAGCTGCTAAATCTCTCAAAATACGGAGAAACGTATATAAACCAGGCTTGTGGAGTTAACCTAAAGCTGTGAACAAATACTGGAAAATACGGGTGATATAAAAAGCGGGCAAGATGAAGAACTTTAGAGGAGTTTTATGCCTTTATGCTTGCTTGAACTTGTTTTACTTGAAGTGAGTAGAAGAGGTTGAAATACATTTAGACAATGTGAGGTGATTAGATTGATAGGAGTCAGATCGCATTTTGTGAGTGTTTATTACAAGCTTTGGTATGCTGGGATACAGTGTAATATGTCTTTAAAGTTCTGGGTAAACCGCAACACGTGGATAACTGTTTGAGTGATATGGGGCTCACACATGTCATTTTTAATATACCAGAAAAAACACTAGAAAAGCAGTGTGGATGGATAAAGGCATGTTTTATCAGACGGGAGGGAGTGGATAGTAGCTTTGGACATAGGGAAAAAATAAAGACTGTCGGGCTTTTGCAAATACACCATTGAAGTATTCAAACCAATTGAAGGAGTGGCTAAGAATAACACCCAAATATTTATTTAATGCTCCCCCGATAAAGGGTGTATCCTCAGTGAATAGTGGCTGGTAATTCTCAATAAAGGTATAGAGAGAGAGAAAAGACAGAGAATAGAACATCAACATATTTTGATGGATTCACTGAGAGGTTGTGAGATACTGAGCTGCATAACGGAGAGAATAGAGTTAGTAGTAAGTCCAGAATGCCGCCATTGGCAATGTAAACAGGCATTGCTGATGAACATGTGGAAAAGAAGAACGATGACAACATGGAATCCTCAGGAATGCCTAATAGGGAAGTTAGGTCAGGGGAAACTTTACCAGCGCAGCGTGTTAATTGTTTTTCAACGGAACGATTATCATTTAAGAGAGCAAGAATAGGTGAAGAGACTCCATGGTTTGTAAGAATAGCCAGAAGTTGAACTTGGTCAAAACTTCCAAATGTGTTGATGTTTTTTAAAAAGAACATTTCTACAACCCTGCATTTAGTGTCAAGTAATGACAAAAAACACTAGTGAAGCTAGGGCATCAAAGGTAGATCGTTTGCGAAAATGGACAAGTTAATTACAATCAGCTATTTTCAACTGTGAGCAAATTGCGTAAAATCACTTTCTCAAATAAGTTCAGGGCGGTCGGGTTACAAGATATTGGACGAAATTTACTGGAATATTTATTGGTAATTGGTGTAGTGCTAGCTGTGCTCCAGCGACTCGGTATTGAACACTGAAAAATACAACGCTTTGAGATTTTGTACAGGATCCTATCATTTATCCCGAAAGCGTATTCTGAACTCGATATTGACGGCGCCCACGGCGAGGCGAGTAAGCATAAGTGAGACTGCGGCAAGCAGAACATCTTTCGAGCTCTGAAATCTAAGTTCAACTGTTCCGCAGCAGAGATCAATAACAAATCACGTAATCGGCATCGGCGAACTTGAATTTAGGCCCAACACTAGCCGATGTATTTCTTGGAATGGTTGAAAGACGATTGAATGATAATATTTCAATGTCTGTTTTGTACAAACGTTATGTTGATGATATTTTGATTTTTACCGACTCTGAGCATTTTAACACCATTTTAACATTTGTTAGTACTATTCATCCCAACCTATCTCTTTCCCTTGAGGAGGAAAAGGATGGTTGTTTAAATTTTTTAGATATAAAATCAGGAGGCGATCAGATGGAACCTTACAAAGATCCATCTACCGTAAGACTACATGGAGTGGACAATATTTACAATTTGCCAGTTTCGCTCCTGTGGCTCACAAAAGAGGTCTGGTGAAGACGCTGTTTCATCGCGCCGAGAATATATGTTCCTCTGACACTGTCCAAGAAGAGGAGGCCTTTCTGCGAAGGACGCTACTGGATAATGGCTATCCAGAGAAATTTATTGATGTGCACAGCA